CTGTCTGTCTGTCTGTCTGTCTGTCTCTCTCTGTATGAAAAAGTGTGCGTAAGAGTATAAGAGAGATAGATAGATAGATAGATAGATAGATAGATAGATAGATAGAGAGAACAGAGAAAGAGAGACACAGAGAGCGAACGAGAGAGAAAGAGAACGATAGAGAGAAAGAGAGAGAGAGAGAGAGAGAGAGAGAGAGAGACAGTGAGAGAGAGAATAGAGGAGAAACGGCAGACAAACAGACAAACACCTAGCAACGCAAACATACATTCACACAGACCCAGCGAACATATTAAAAAGAGAGAGAGAAGAACCAATCAGGAGAAGATAGGCTGTTCCGTTCGGTATCTTTTTTTTTGGATGGGCTTTTGTTTAGTTTTTAATTATTTTTTTTTGGAATTGGATACTCTTGAATCACTGTCCCCGTTTTCCGAAAACAGATATATTTTTAAAAAAATCTAAGAACAAGGATGCAGGGGTCCGTAATTTCCGAATTACACACAGGCAATTTCCTTTCCCAGAAAAGTGCGTCTCTCTATGGTTTCACTGCGGGGAAAGACGCAGAAGACACCACACAAAAACAAGCTTGTGAAATGAACTGAGCGTGAGAACATTAACAAACAGAACCCCCCCCCAAAAAAAACCCAACAACAACCCCCAAACAAAACCAAAACCAAAACAAAAACAAAAAAACCAACACCCCAGGAAAAAAAACGAAAAAATAAAAACAGGCACAAAAAGTAACAATAAGAAAGTATGAAACTATTGTTCAATCTCCATTAATCTTTTCGCTGCCTCTGGCTATAATTATTATTTCCTATTATGACTGTTATTTGAAACATTTTCATGTTAAAAAAAACAACTAATAGTAAAAAGAAGCACATTGGCATAACAACAGTCATATTATAATGCAAGGGAAAAGCAAGACTGAAAGAGAGAGGGAAAGAAAAGAAGTAAGGCTTTACAGTGGCACCCTCCAATCACCGGCTTCCGGGGCAGTCTCACGCGGGAGATGGAAATCTGGGGATAAAAGGGACTTGCGTCTGCTGAGTTTTAGGTTTAGTAAGAGTTTTGCGGCATTTGCGAAACAAATATAGGTCACATAGGTGTCAGCAGTCACACGCGGGAGATGGAAATCTGGGGATAAAAGGGACTTGTGTCTGCTGAGTTTTAGATTTTGTAAAAGTTTTACAGCACTTGCAACAGAACACAAATATAGGTCATTCGGGTGTCGAAGATGAAAGGTTTTTACTAGAGAGTAACGTACAAAGAAAAGAAGAAGAAGAGATAAGGACGATAGATGTTTGATGCGACAGGAGCAAACCTCACTACACCACTCGTCAATCACCAACAAACTCACGTCTGAGAAATCAGATCTGACGGAGGAGGTAGAAAGGAAATGCAGATGTTTCAGGAAATGCAGACGTTTAAGTCCCCATCCACACAGTTTAGATCATACTTTTTCCTGCGCTGCTAGGTGGCAACGAGGCTCTTTTACCTGCATATGTGAGGCAGCGTGGTGGAATCAGGCTCTCGTCAAAATAATCAAAGTGAAGAAACGTGCATTTTTCCACAGGTTTGTGAATTTTTATAAAATTTTTGTTTTTTGGCTCAATACCTTTCATGCCCATTAAAGAACTCATTTCTGTGTGGATTTTTCTGAAAAGCGTGGATTAAAGGCACAAAAATGTAAATTTTCAGTTAACGGACTCTTAAGCTAAGGAAATAACTAATCTTTGGCGGCCATTTTCTCACTAATTTTACCTCTGAAAATAGGTGAACCTCACCTCCTTCTTTCGTAAATATCTCGACTTGTTTTCAAGATAAATGGATATTATTTTCCTCCATATAAAGACAAGTAAACACGCTTTCTTTAACATGATACCAATAACTCTACATGCCCAAAAATTGACGAGAGTCTGATTCCACCACGATGCCTCACATATTGTGTTTTAACGGTCCTGTAAAGCCAAGAAAAATCTCCCTCTTGGATAATAAAGTATTATCTTATCTTATCTTGTGCTGGAGGTGGTGGGCTTTGACCTTGCTTGTTAGGGCCAACCCGAGCTGAGAGGATAAAACATTCTATAAGTAGATAAGATAATATAAGATAAGATAAATTCTCATTAATCCAAGAAATGTTAAAAAAAATAGCCCCACACTAGAACCGAACTAAGATCTGCTGCGAGCGACTGTGAAGTACCTAACGACTACACCACAGGCACTGGTGCGGTGTGGGGTTACGGGTAGGATTAATAACAGCGTAATATACAACATATTACTATAATATTAATATCTTGTTAGTTTAGTATGAATTTTACGGCACTTGCAATACATTGAGGTCATGTAAGTGTCGAACATTAGAGGTGTTTCAAGAGAGAAACAAGCACATAAAGAAGGTGGAGAGATCAGGACGATACATGTTTGATGGTAAAGAAGGAGCAAACTATACTAGAGCACCCCCCACCCCCCTCCCCAAACCATCCATGTAAGAGTTTTACGGCGCTTGCAAGTACATTATATTCTCAACAGGCAGTAACCAAAGAAATGAGTTTCAGACAGCACAGTAAATTTTGGGCACATAAAATGCTCACGTTTTCTTACCCATAAAGATGCATAATACCGCTGTTTGTTTGTTTGTTTGTGTGTGTGTTTGTTTGTTTGAGTAAAGAGAAGCACATCGACACAATAAAGGTCATTAAGGGCTAAGGAAAAAAGTAAGACAGACAGACAGAAAGAAACAACAGAGGGACAGTAAAGAAATAGGACCTACCAGTAGCACCAACCAACCACTCGCAATACAGCTGTAATTTATACACAGCTGCTATAATCCCAAACTCACGCCCACATAAATACACACAAAGGGACATATTAATCAGATGTGAAAACGCAACTGAAAAAACACACACCTACACAAAAACACACAAAAACGTACACATTATAATTACATATGAGATGAGAACACAACTGTAGTCTTTACATCCACGGAACTTAAACAAGTGTGTCAAAAAACACCTAACTGCAGTCACATGCAGATATAAATACAAACTCATACACACGCACAAACACACAGTCATACACATAATACTATACACGGACACACACACATATACACACACAAACACACAGACACAAAGACACAGACACAGACACACACACACAGACAGAAATTAACATTGTACTGGGAGCGTATGCCTGTGCATACGGTGAGTAGTAGGGCGGGAAGGGTTTGGGGAGTGTGGGTGTGA